GTATGTTTTCATTGGGGTGACACTTAAAGCACGCCTTTTGTCCAGTCATTGCCACTGGATTTCTAGGAAACATTTTATGCATTTCATTTTTAGAGCAGTTTTTTAAGTTAATTTTTTTTCCCGACTAAATGTGGTCAGATACAAGTGTGATTTTCACAACTTCAAATTGGTTTGTACATTTCAAAGCAACCGTATTGAATATCAATGAACTCGGAGAAAACATTTAGAATAAAAAACAAGAACAAATTTGAAAAAACAAGGAAAAAAAAAACAAATGGAAAACCAACACAACCAACTTAAGTCAACAGTTTTATGAGCAGCAAAATGACCTCGGACTTCAAGGCTCACAGACACCAGAGTATTCCCGGACACTGGAGCTCCTGCTGCAGCTGCTGACAGGGAGCTCCCAAAGCAGCTGTTCCGAGCTCCTTCTTGCGAACCCCGATGGAAAGGGGACATCTGCTGGCAGCAAAAGATATTCTCCCAAAGACACAGCTACCATTAAATAGGCAAAATTACAGCAGTACCTTAGTAATGTTTACAGAAGGGAAGGCATTTTATTTATACTCAGCTTTATATTATCAGCAAGCACACAGAGAGCCACAAACAATAGCTATTTTTAAAAAATCATATATTTAAAGTAAAACGATTATAATAACATAGCAATAAAAGAAATTGCAATTAGCAAGTCTAAATTAACATGGTCATCTTTATCTGAATAATTGCATTTAAACTGCATATTCAGCTAAATAACACAGTGGCCCTCACCTGTTCTTTTTCAAAAGCTTTATAACAAGTAGATATAAAAAGGCAAAATTTTAAATTGACTACAGGCAAGCATTGGCACATCAGGAATTTTCTGTTTCAGAATATTTCAAGTTTTCCTAGATGCAATCAGCTTTTAGGAGGCACTTCTAGCAATAGACTCAAAATATATTATAATGGATTTTGTCAAATACAGTTCTATGTAAGACAGGACCCAGGAGGTTGAACTGCCAGCCTTCATCAGCGGTTCATTTTACCTGACTGAAATAGAACAAATATTATTTCAGAAATGAAGGTGCTGAAAAGCCTTTATTCTTCAAAAAAATTTAGGAATTCAATTTCACTAATAAAATATTTGTTGAAAATATCTCAGTTCAAATAAGCAAACAAAACTTTTAAGCCTGTCTTGGGCAAGCCTGCTCTGCAAATGAAGAAATCCCAATGAGAAACACCTGCTCTGGATTCACAGCTGCAACTGTTGGAACAGAGAAGAGCCATTTCAAACTCTTCAGTCTCACCTCCAACAAGTATAATAAGAATAATCTATCTTCTCTCTAAGCTGGGCAGGAACATCCCATGGGATTGGCCAACACAGAAATCATCTCCAGGTAAAATTATCAGTCTCAGGAGAGTGGGAGCAGAAATTACTAAATGAATCACCTCCAAACCAGCACTATCAGAATTGTGAAATCAGGAGAAGAAATACAATCAATGGTAATTCTGTTCTGCAGTTCCACAGCATGGCAACACACACGCAGGTGAAGGAGTTTGTGATTGCAAGCACAGAGAAGCTTCTTTTTGAGAATCCAGTTTTGTGGCTGAGTGTGAGGACCCTTTCTTTAATAACAGTAAAAGTCAAATCAGAGTTCTTTACCAAACTTCACTTCTTCTTTGGTAAAAGTTAAAAGCTTAACACTTTTTTTTTATTTTCCTATTAAGCTACATGCATTCAAAGACAGTAATTCCTCTGATAAGGCTTTGCAACACAGCATAGTCTAAAACTTCAATCACAAAGAGCAAATGCATTCATCAAAGAACACAAAACACTTCGGGCTTACCCCAAGCTCACAGAGTTCTCCAATGACGGAAGCCATCGTCCAAACACGTGATGCGAGCATTTATCTTCCCTTTCTGCAGGTGAGCTCTTGGAGTTGAAGCCAGCCCGTCAGCTGTAAAGCGTCTGCAGCAAAATTCCAGGTGAGCAGCGCCCAAGGGACGCTGCTGGTGGCTGCTGAGGGCTCAGCGCGGCTCCACTGCCACGAGCTCTGCCTCACCTGAGGGCCCGGCGCAGCCCCGGAGCCGGGGCACAATCCCTGCGGGGCCCGAAAGCTTCAAACACCGAGTGCGAGCCCAGCCCAGCGCGGCCCCTCTGGCCCTGCGGCCGAACCCGGGAGAACCGGCCCGCTCGGGCCCGGCCGTCCCAGTTTTACCGAGGCAAGGGGCGGCTGGAGGAGTTCGGGGCCGCTGGGGCCCGGCCCCTCACGGGATCGGCCCCGGGCAGAGCGCGGTGCCCACAGCGCTGAGGCCGCGTGTTCGATCCCCGGGTGCGCCGTTCACTCACAGCTGGGTTGGGTGGTCTCTGTGGGTCCTTCCCTGCTCGGAATATCTTGTGAATCTGATGGATTCCTGCCCCAGCCACCGCCCTATGTCAGCAGCACTTAGTTTTTTAACGTTCCCCCCTTATTTTTTGTCTTTTATTCTTTTTTTTAGACAAGACCACAGTTTTCAATATGAGCAAGAAAGTCAAAGTTCAGAGGAAGAGCATCCTCAGGCCTGGTCTCTTGTCAGCCCCACCCAGAGTGCTCTGGTCAATCCAAAATGCTGCCACTGCCCTTTCAGTCATTTTACACCAGTAACTGCTAAAAATTATACTCTGGTCCCATGTTCCACATGTTTGGTTTCACACACGAAACCACTCAGCCTGAAACATCCCCAAGTTCACTTTCTAGAACTGCTTTCCACCATCTCATGCTAAACAGGGAATAAAACAGCAGTGGGTGATAGGTACAGATTTCACACATGGCAAAGCCTGTTTGCAATTTGTGATGGGCATGGGACTGCCCCCAAAGCAGAACCATGATCATGCCGACTAAGCCACAAAGGTGTTAAACGAGTAGGGAGAGTGTTTGCATCTAAATCAGGACTGATGTGGCTGAGGTTCTCCATTCCAGCCCTGCCTCACCTTGCCAAGGAAGCAGAAAGCCACAAGTTCCATACGGGTTTTATAAGAGGAAAGAAGAGAATGTTTCAACAGCCTGCAAAGCTGTGACCAGCTGGACTGTGGCAGACTGTGCGTAATAAGTGGACTACACAGCTACCAAATGTTTCCTCCAAGGCACAATGTTAATTACCATTGTGCAATCCGATTTTTGGTAGACTTCACCAAGATGAATATTGGAAACAGGTTAATGTAAACACTCCCATTAAAAAAAAAAAAAAAATCCTTCCCTCCCGTTCCACCTGATTGTGCTGAAACTTAATTTGGGAGATTTTGATGATGAAACGGTATCTGACATGAGATAGGTCTGACTAGAGAGAAACACACCTTCTTATCTTGATGTGATATCCTTCCCCTTTTTAATTTTCAGTACAAAAAGGCACACTGGCTCTATCTTGACTTAAATGTAGCATTTTGGGTTGCACAGATAAGTGAGTGACCCGTAAGGTCAATTAAATGCAAACACAAATGCAATTTCAAGTTCAATACTTTGTTTCCTCTGGCAACAGAAAGAGAACACTAAGCATGTAAACAGTTACATCATGTTGCCTAAAATGTGTTGCACTAGGAGAGAAGCAGGCATCATACAGATTTCTTGCTTACTAGAACATGCAAAATGACAAAAACAAAACAAAAAAACCCCACAAAACCACAAAAAAACCACCACAACCCCCCAAAAAACAGAGATGTCACAAAGTACAAATGCTCATCTAAATCTAGGAGAAAAGTGTGTAAGGATATTTCTCAAAGCCTGATGCTCTGTGAAAATACATTAAAGAAAAGCATAAGTTACTTTCAAAAGGCAATGCACATTGTAAGCATCTCTTTTATTGTAATATAAAGAAGCATACATCATTCAGTTCTTTAAAGTACAAGTCAAATTGTACACTAACAAAAAAAGATCAATTCAGACATCCATGAACATGTCAACAACAGAATTCATTACATTTTGCTCTGCTGGTATTGCACTTGGAATGATTTAGAAGTAAGGCACAGTAAAAACAAAGTCATTTAGTGCTTCTACAGCAGATGTCCTTTTTTAAACACATGCTACATGACGTAAAAGTACTTCTAGCTTATGTATATACACACAAGGGAAAAAGAAAAAAGCATGCACTAGAGAATTCAGATTTCAACATATCTTGCTGTTTCATAATATACAAATAAAGTAGTTTAAAGATGTAAACAAATTGCATGCACATAAACTAGAGCAAAATCTTTAATACAGTATCTGAAAGCTATTATGCTTAAATAAAAAAATATAACTTATTAGTACTCAGGTTTATGTGCCATTTTTGTCCTGTAGAGATTAAAAATATGGGGTTAGGGGCAGGGTGGGAAGAGTGGATTTTTCTGGTTATGCTGTTGGTTTTATTTTTTTGCTTTACACATTGGCAGCAGTACACTGGTAAGGTCAAATATGGCTTTTGCAAAACAATGTCTAATGAAAACATGAAAAAGCACAATTGGTTCAGGATCCAGCATCCTGATATTTTCCAGTCAAGAACAAAACAAAACAAAAATCAATATGATCTACGCTTTGAACTGGGTAAGCCATGCATTCCAAAAGACCTTTCTAAAGACATTTAAACTCTACAAGAACGAGACACTTTGTCAAGTGTAAACTCTTAAAAACTAAACACAGAAGAATCTGAATGACTCAAACATCGTTTTCCACTTCAAACGCTACTGAGTAACTTTCGCCCGCGGCTGCGGTAGCTGAAGTGATACTGGACTGTCTTCAGAATTAACTGCATGCCAGGAGCAGCTTTGCTTCTTTTTACACAGGTACCTTAGAAATTAAGTAAGTTAACTGCACAATTTTTGGTTTCACTTTATCTTTGGCATAGGAGTCGCCGTTTTTCAAATTAAAAAGGACATGCACCATGCTGCATTCCAACAGGTTATGCTGAAAAGGCACATTTGTTGCTGCCTGGGTGGCAAGGGAAGACTTCTTATTTTGCAGAAGGCAGGGTGTTGAGTGCAGCATCCTTTCCTCATCCTCCAGAGTGTTCAGTTAGACCAAGTACAGTTGCACACAGCGGCTGCCCAGGAGCTGCCCATTTCTCTCAGCCACTGCTTGCTTAGCTAGATCCAGGCTTGGAAAAGTCACCAACGCCTCGCCACTGGGCTGCCCACTAAAGTTGTAAAGCATGAGGATGGAATCTGCTTGGAGCTGCAATGGTACAAGAAGAAAAAATAAAAAAAAAACCAAACTATTAAGACCAGCAACAACACCTGGAAATGTAGTTTTTAATGCTGGTGCATTTTTTAGTGCATATGGCTCACTCCACTCCTGTGTCCATGGTGAAAACATTCTGGAAGTTAAGAATGGGAAGGAGAAGGAATCAAAGATTAAAAGAAATTTTAGCTTGGCGAACAGCAGCAGTTCTTACTCTGCTGGAGTGCTGAATATAGCAATGTAGACATAATTCTGTGCAAAAATTTGTCTAGAGAAGCAATTGAGATTAAAGGAGAGAGTTAGATGTTAATAGGAGGTAAATGGAGCAAGAAATCCAGGCACTAATAATTCTTGTACTATGGGGACTACTGGCCAAGTGACAAAGGCTTTTAAGGCATGTCAATACTCACACACAAAGTTTAAAAAAAAAACCCAACACACATGCCAAAAATAAAAGAGCTGTATGAGTTCTATGTTGGGAGAATGAGCTGAACTCAACACAGGTATACAGTGCAAGGAAGATTTTCCAGAACAATTAAGTAAAATTTGGTGCAAAACTGAATTAAATAAATATTTCTTGTAATTTTAACAAGGCTAAGGAAAAGCAGGTTAGCAGACAAGATTATTTAGTCATTGGAGTTGATTTCTACTTTTGAGGGCATTTGCCCTCATAAAGTCTTAAAAGGCAGTTCCAAATTGCTGAGTTCAAAGTAGACTACAGTCAGCCCTATTGTACCCCATTCATTTTCCATAAGATGCAGGAAATTCTTCCAAGCTAAGTTTGAACTCCAGGTTGCTGGACAGAAATGAATCTCAGTGAAGTTTCACAATGAGAGACTGAAGGATCAAAAGCTCAGCATACAAGGTTAGTTTTTTTGAAAAACAGTGTCAGACAAAGCAATGCTGGAAAAGTTTTATGAATATTAATTCAAGTTATGTTCATGTGACATATGTTCTCTTGAGTTTATAAAAGATTAAAATATTTAAGTGTTTCATTTCTGTAGAACTTGTGTCTGGTATACTACAAGAAACAGCAGACATCTCAGTTATTACCAATAGCATTTCATTCATGTATCATATCATATATCACCTTTACATTCAAACATATGAAAATAAATCAAGTGCATGCCAGAGCTTCACTCACCCAAACACTGAGCAGGCAGTAAAACTATTCTTAAAATATAAGCACAACACACTTTAAAAACCAAAACCATGCATAAGGCAGTTAGTACAAACTTTCTATCATTTCTTCTCAGAGAACTAAAGTTAGTCAAGAAATAGCATGCAGAAAGAAATCAAAAAACAGATAAAATACATAATCTCTAAAGCCCACTAATGGTTTGGAACCAATCTTGTTTTACTTCAGAGTAACCCTCTCTCAAAGAGAAAGCTGTACAGAACTTGGGTTGAGCTGCAAATCTGAGCTAAAAGATGCTCTAAACCAGCTCTTTGCTATTAATCCATATGGGATCAACCATTTACCATCAGTCCAGAATAAAACTTCAATATTTCAGCTCAGAGTCAGCTGAAAACACACATGGAACACAGTTATACCTCTGAGCACAGAGGAGAGCTTTAAAAACATCGTTTAAATAGCAGTATTGGTGTAATACCAATGTAGGGATCTAGAAACTCATGTTATGAGAGCTGCATAGAAAGTTAGCAGAGAAGTCTACACATTCTGCAAGCAATTTAATTTAAAGAGCTAAATGGACCCCTTCAGTTTCATTTTAAGACATACTGGGTTTAAGTTCTTATTTATAGATAATTCTAGAGAAATAGAGTTTCTGTATGTAAATGTGTGTTTTAAAATTAGACTCAGATTCACACAAATATTTTTCATGGATTTTGGTGGTTTTTTTTTTACTCTCTATCAGTGGTACCTGTACAATACTACTTTTCACCACTTAGAATTCAGACTGAGCTACTCCATGAATTAGCCAAGACTGTTTCCATGTCATACTTAGTAGAAACCAGCTGCTGATCTGGTTTTCCAGTTAATCACCAGACCATGCAGTCCATCTGCTCCCTACAGATCCAACACGAGAAAACAACTAATTTGAAAACAACTGAGTTGATGATTGTTAGTGAAAGTACATTTGTCTGTGAAAGTAATTCTCTCAAGGCACAGTATGTGACTGCCATTTTTAAACTGAGAGGTTGTTCTGTTTTTTTCTCAAGGAAAAAGAAAATGTACTAACTAATCAGTAGCCTTTTGAATGGAATACAGTAGTAGTGTGGCATCTTGTAGTTCACATAGGCCATAACAAAATTTCTCTGAGAACTATGTGTAAGGGCCAAAAAATGCAGGCAAATTTACTGTTGGCAAACCTAGTTAGTTGCATTAGAAAGTCACTATACTCAAAAAAACTCTTCTGGAAAAACTAATGTAATAGTTCACATTGCATTAGGGAGATCAAGAAGGAGACATATTAATCTCTAGCCAGTTATATGGTACAGAAAAGACACAGCCAGAGGTCTGGGGGTTTTTACACACACATTTGTATGTGCTTTCTAGCAATACCAGGGAGAAAAAATAATCTTCTATGACTTTACTAAGAGAAAAATACTGGACTGAAAGGTTCACATGAGATACAAGCATTAACAAACCCTTCTGGAAGTTGAACACACCATCTCAGCAGAACCAGGCAATCACTACCTCCACCACTGCTGCCCCAGCAGCTACAGATCACAGCCAGCCCATTTCCTTGGGTTAGTCGATTTTTGAAGCAGGAAGACTAAAACCAGGATCCCAATGCAAGCTTCTAAGGGGGAAAGCCACAAGCAAAGATCTCTGTAGCACCAAGCCCTTCTTTCCCTTCCCATTCACCTCTGGAGAGCCAGGCTCTGGCAGTCACATCTTACCTTCTTCAGAAGTTACAAAGTTACAAACAGACCCACTCTTTCGGTGCTTGTAACACACTCCTGGCTTGATCGCTCAGCTGAATTAGGCCATTGTAGTCATCAGGTGCATACTACAGTACAAGTGTGACATGGGACAATCAGCAAGAGAAGGAACAGTCTGGCACAGCAAGCCACACAGACCATCATTTGCAACCACAATTAAAAGCATCAGCTGTGACAACTGGCAGGAGACACTGAATTGGACAGAAACTGCTTTTATGTAAGATAAAACATACATTAATTGCATTACTGGTTGTAGAAATAAAGTTAATGTTTGTGGGCAATGTTTTAAACTGTGTATTTGAACTGCTCCTTATCAAGGAAGGGAAATAGCTCAGACCATGAAGTGCTCCTTTTTTCCTTCTACTCATGAGATGGCAGCACCAGGTAACCAAACTCCTACATTTCCATAAGCACAATCACAAACCCAGCAATAGCTCTCACTGGGACAGATGAGCATCTTCCAGCCTGCACACTGAGGTGAGGGATCAGAATAATTGTATGGATCTCATTCAGATCTTTTATGCACTCATGGAAATGAAGTGCAGCTTCTCTAGGGAAGAGTGAAAAACACTTAAGCTGCAGATAATACTTGTACTCCATAGACTACACCGATGTAATGAAAGAAAATCAATGCCCCAGCATGAATGCATTCACAAGGTAAAATAGCATTTATGCTGGTGTAGTGTATTTCTACATTGGAAAATGAAATAAACTGCACAGTGTAACTGCATCATGACAGATTTATAGAAGTAATATATTAAAATAAAAATAATGACTGCACAGAACAGTCACACTATCAAATTAGAACAAAACCCTCATATATGAATCAGATCTAAGAATTCTTTGAGATGCTGAATATGAACAGTAATCACTCATACTACTGGCCTGGTACAAATATATATGGTCAGGAAATACATCAATATGAAATATTGTTCTTAGCACATAATCCTTCCAAATCACATATCCTGGGAAGGGACTGAGCATTCTTACACATGCTGTGAAGATTACTTGAGTGGTTCCTGTAATCCAGAAGACAATAGTGTTTAGCATAACCTGAGTTGTAGAATATCTTTTCAGTGGCAAGAAGAGTTTCCTGTCTCTCCCCAAACAGACTAATGCTTTAGATGATTGCCAAATGCACACAATATAGATGCACTGTGCTGCCTTTCCTTTGATATTTCTATGATGCAAAAAGTCTCCTGCCAGCTTAGGGAGAAAAGGGGCATATTTGGGCATACAGAACACATCCAAAGGGAAGTTGAAAAACACCAACCATCTTGTACACACCTTTCACAGAAAGCAATAACCAAGAGCCCAGAGAACACAAAAGAAAAGAACCCCCCAGAATTTTACTACTGAATTCTAAACCCATGCCATTAAGTAAAAGACAAATATAAGGAGTATTTTCTAGATAGTCTCTGCCAGGGCAACCAGACCGTGCAAATATTAGATTTATGAGTTCCCAGACCTGCCCTTGAAACAAATCTACTAAATGTAAGTTTACTCTTTGGAAGGAATGTCTCAAGATAGTACATACTTTAGATTATCAGTAGATGTACAGTAGGCAAAGCTCTACAGTCTTACTTTGTAAGGGACAGCATTTCAGAAGTTACACTTGAAATGGAATAAACAATGTAGAAAATATGAAAGTTATAAAAATATCCTGTAAAGAGCTGTCAGAGCTTAGGCAAAGACCTAAAGAAAGCGAGAAAGAAAGAAGAAAACTAAATTCATCAAAAGACCCAGAAATAGAAGTAGCATCTAATCACAAGGATAGGTGAGAGACTGCAGTCAATTAAAACAGAAGCTGTAGGACAGTAAATTCTTCAAATAAAATGAAAACTACCCTAACTTGCCTGAGTAAGCACATGATTGTGAATCTTTCTGATTCTGTCTGCATTTCAGAACCCATAAGAACAAAGCAAGAGCATCCAACCACACAGGACCAAACCAAGGGTAAACTGGTTAATAAAGATGTAATACACTAAACATCCTCCTTGAATTTCCTTTTTCTTCAAGTTATTTTATTTCTTTGTACTTCTCTTGCTGAGAGAAATATGGGACTGTCTTCCCCTCACAGACTGTGC